ATAAATAACTAAGTTAACATTTTTATTACAAAATCTCTAAATTTTAGACTGATTCACTTTTTTTTATCAATACATCGATATTTAATTAAAAAAAATTAATTACAATGCCCGTTTTTATTGTTTCTCGTTTTCAGTGCTTTTTTTGTTTTGGCCATTTTTTGTTGTGAGGCAGCACCGACATTTTAGTTCAATTGGTTTACAAAGCAAGAAGTGAGGTTGAAGTTGACATTTTTTGCAACTTAAAATTAAATTTTCATAAAAACTATAAGCCTCCGGAGGGTGGGGTTTCCAGATTTACAATCATAAAAAGCCGCTCTAAACCCCTTCATTTTTGTTTTTTTTTAAAGCCGGGTTCCGTATTGGAAAATTTTCCCAGGACCTTATTTCAAAATAAATAACTGAATATAGAACTAAAAATCGTCAAAATGGCGCTTACGACAATCTTTTACCCAGCCGACGATATTTAAATAGCCAATATTTGCTATTTAAGTGCAGATTAAATGTATGATCTGAAAATGAATAGTGGAAGTTAATCAACAATCTCTACTTAAATGGGTCATCTGAAATTGGGCCTAAATGTCAGATGGTGTGCCGCACTGCACTTTTTGATACTTTTAGTGCACTCATCGAACAGACCTTTTGTTCGGCAATCAGCTCACGAAACACAGCGTGTGGTGCTGAATGAGAAGATTGGCCTTTTGAAGTGGACATGCTCTTCCCCTTTATCGTAAATTCAAAATATGCCATTCAATACGATTTTTATTACTTTTAAATTTCTTTTTTATTGAAGTATACTTCAAAAAGAGTGTGTTAAAACAATCCTTTACTATGTACATGTCGTGGGCTCTTTTTGTTGGCTAAAGTTACGTACACATTCACTACGGTCGTTTTTTAAAGTAAGCTGTGAATTCAGCGGAGTGCTTACAATACAGCGGCTGAGAGTTTTACCTGCCCATTCATTGTGATTGTGGCTAGAAGCGAGGCTGCAGCAGTTGGCACATCGGACGCTCTCGCCTTTTTAAATTTAAATAATTTTCTGTAACTACCTTAGATAATACTATTCGAGCTGGTATAAGATCTAACGAAGTAATATCAAAAACTCGCAACGAATTCCTGGTGTTGAGAAGTATCTAGCTTAGTTTAAATTGAGACTGTGTAGTGACTGGCTGAGAAAATCTCCGTTGGAACGATAAGGGAATAAAAAGGTAATAACTAAAAATTTGTGTAATTATAATGTACTGAATAGCAGAGAAGTGAAATATCCAAATTATTAAAGGTGTAAAAAACGCTCAGCTGGGTAACTGGCTGTTCGATGATTTTGTTCCACCACATTTGCGGAATTTACGATCTACGGTCGTTTATAAGTGCGCTGTGCAAGTGGTTACTGACTCTCGACCATTGTGCTGAATGGACTTTTTGTCGCATCGTTTGTTTGCTTCTTATTCACTTTCTCAGCTCTATGTTGAAAGACTTCTCAATTCAGTTCAATTTGCAAATTTCAATGAGTGAAAATTAAAGAGGAAATGTTTACTTGATCTTCTATTTTATTTACATATGTTTATAGATTTCAATTGAGTTGCCTAGTATATTTTGTTAATTGCGTGAAACAGCGCAGCTAGAACTGGAAAAGCTTAAAACTGGAGAAACAAAACCGAGTTAAACTGATTCGAGACAAAATGGTCCTGGCTGAGAGAAACTCAGAGTTGGTACGGAATGGGAGGCGATCACGCGGTCCAAGTCCGAATGGTCACGGCGGCAGCGTTGCTGGTGGTACAGTAGGCGGGAGTTCCAATATTGGTAGTGGGGGTACTGGTGGTGCGGGAACTCCGGAAACTAGTTCCGATGATGATAATTGTGAGTTGAAAATTTATAAGATCTTTAAAATAAAGAAATTGTACATAGGACTTCCGTTTTTAATTATCTTTCTAATAGCCATTAAGCGCAACGGAAAGTCAAAAAATAAACAGAGCGAATATGAGGGTAAGATAAAATTTAAAAAAGTTTACTTTGGAAACATTCCCGGCTTATGTATAAATGTATTTCTAGAAAAAATTCGTGTCGGTCGCGACTACCAGGCCATATGTCCATCTCTTATACCAGAAAATGAACGTAAACCAGAAGGTCTTAACGATCGCGCCTTATTAGTTTGGTCACCTACTAAAGAGATACCAGATGCGAAACGTGAGTATGAATACAAACTTAATTTTGAAATCATGAAGTGTTCCAGGTACTTCAGTATTTGCAGGTTTAAAGGATTTACAGGAAAAGCACTTTAAGCCTCTAATAAACCTTGTGTAAGGTGTCCTACGGAAATAGCATCCTGTAAATTCCTCCAAATCCTGACGTACCTGGGCTAGGCTTATTATTTTGAATATTTGAATTAGAGATGGGCACGTGAGTAATTTTGGCTCACGTTCACGCACGCTCACGTTGATGGTTTTTTAAATCACGCACACTCACGTCCTGCTATTTTTTTTCAATCACGTTCACGCACGCTCACGACGTCTATTTTTTAAATCACGCACGCTCACGCACGGTTTTCACGGACATTTTTTTGAAATTGAAACTATTTATATAAATAGTATTTCATATAAATAGCCTTTTATAACACAAGTATTATTACAAAAGCTTGGCCACACGCCTAGCAAGGGCTGAAGGCACTATTATTATTTTAACAAATTTCAGATATACATACTTATGTATCTATTACGAGTATAAAAAAGAATTGGTTTCAATATTTATTCAACGTATGTAATATTAAAATGACATTAGGTCCATTCAATAACTTTTCCAGTACGTACATGCAACGAGAGCATAAAAGAAAAATAGAGAGTAAAATAGAGAGAAAGAGAAAATTTTCAGAAAAAGTTATTGAACGCAAAACTAGTAAAAACTTGCAACTTAAGCCATTTTGACACTTTATGATGGTTAAAATTAACATCCATATTTTCATTTCACTAATTATGTTTCATCAAATCATCCTCTTCAACAGTATGTTTACGTTTGAAATTGAAACATAACCTTACTTTTTGACTCCTGCAAATTCCTGCTAGTAAAATTATTACTCGGAAGAGTTTGCAGCTCTCTCGGGTAGTTACGCTCTCGAATTCGCTCTCTCGCAAATATTTTTTGTTATTGAATGCATTTCCAGTAAAAACTTGCAAGTACTAGTAACAATTCGTAATTTTTTTTTGATCTTGAATGGACCTATTAGCTCATATTTTTGTTTCTCTTTCNTTTACTCGGAAGAGTTTGCAGCTCTCTCGGGTAGTTACGCTCTCGAATTCGCTCTCTCGCAAATATTTTTTGTTATTGAATGCATTTCCAGTAAAAACTTGCAAGTACTAGTAACAATTCGTAA